TCCTCATGTGGAGGAACCTCAGAAAAGCACTATCCCACCAGTCAGCGATAGCTCCTGAGCCCCTTTTTTTTCTCTGGGCGTCCCCTCAGGGAAGCAGAAAGCATATGAATTTGCTTTTTTTTTTTTTTTTTTTTTTGTTCTGGAGGAATTTCCCAAAGGAGCTCATGGGAACTGAATGAATTTTCACTAGTATTTTTACTCTTAAGTGTTGCCTGTTGAAAACCCCGGCCTTGGCTTGTGGCTGGGGCTCTGAGCCCACCTGCATGCAGCAGCACTGAGGAACACGAGGCCTTGGCAGAGCCGGGCAGTGGTGCAGGAGCAGGGAGGCCACGAGGACCTGCACAAGGGAAGGCTACGGCCAGCACGGACCTGCTCTGGGGCTGCCAGGCAGATCCCTCCAGGGCGAGTTTTGGAAGCAGCTTAGTGGAAATGGGAATAAACGATGGTGGGTCTAAAAGCAGGAATATGCTAATGCAATTTGCTGAAGAGACAGCCTTGAAAGCCACTGTCACCATAGATGAGCATCAGACTGCCACCGAGCTGGTTGACCTTGAGGGTGGAAGTAACAGAAACGGGATGAAATTTAATAGCGGGTGTCAGGATGAGCACAAAGACTCAGAGGGAGAATCGAGTGATGGAGAAGGATGCAGGTGCATTACTTGCCAGCGGCACCGCTGCAGAGCAAGCGCACGGCGCCGACACAGCCACGGGCAAATACTCCATGCTGCCCGGCCGAGGCTGAGTCCCAGGCAGGGCTCAGACCCAGCCACCGTCCGGGCACTGGAGCCAGCGGGACCCATGAGCGGCTTCGCTAATAAACCGGCAGCAGATGCGGCTCGGAGCAGCCCCAGGAGCCTTCTTAGGAAGAGAAGGGGGAAAAACAGAGCTCTCGCCCACTGAGGCGGTGCTGCAGCCGGGGGCTGCGGGACGGGGAGGACTCGGGTTCTCGCGGCAGCCTCGAGCAGCACAGTGTTTGCTCCCCTGATTGCTGGGCAGCAGAGGCCTGTAGAGCTGGAAAGGTTTTACCTCTGCCCCAGAACAACTGCAGGGAGCGTCACAGGGGCTCTTGACCATTTTCAAGTCTAAGAAAAGGCAGGCACAAAACTGCCGCCTTTAAAAATCCTCTAAATTGGTAATCCAAGCCCTCTGGCAAACAACTCTCTCCAGGAAAGCAGGGCTGATAGCCTGTTCCCCTCTCCATACCCCACGGCCATCATGGTGCAGGGCTAACAGCCATTTGGGACGAGACTTTTTCTTGTTCTTGCCCTCTCTTGACAAGCAAACCCTACTGTCTTGGACGCCCAGCAAAACCTGTCCCTCACTGGGCAGCAGAGAGAAATCCCTGACAAGGAGAGACACCTGGATATTACCTCTGTTCAGATGATCCTGCAGACCCCAAGGAGCTGCCCTGTGTCCACACTCACCAGGCAGGTCTGCATCCCAGATCCAAGCTCATGTGAGATGACCACAGCACAGTCTGCTCTGTTCTGCCCGCTTTGTAGGCGAGCCTGGAAGCCAAAACTCTGCTCCAAAACTTTGCCGTGGGCTCCCGAAATCCCCACCGAGCGCCGTGCCCGGTGTATTGCAACAGCTCAAAACTTGGTGGCTGCTCTTCCTGTCACATCCACGTTGGGCTCGGTTGCTCTGATAAGGGCTGTCACACACTAACAAATGTCCCTGCAGGATGTCACAGCCAGGAAGGCCTGAGCATGACAGCGACATGCAGGCAGCCGCGGCACCGTGTGCAGCAACCAGCGCCGCTGCCAAGCTCTCTCCACAGCCTGGTGGCTGCAGAAAGCTCTGAGCGGGGGTATTGTCTCTTTTTTCATCTTGCGCCTCTCCACAGAGCCCTTGTCAGAAGTGACACTTGTGGCCCGGAAAAACATTGATCATCTTCCAGATGCTCTGAAAGCTTCTGCCTGGCAGCCAGTAGCAACCTGCACCAGGCACGAAGGGACAGGTATCAAGGAGAGAAACCCAAAGCCATGTCTGCAGCCTTGCTCTTCCTCGCCCAGCACCTTCCTTTGGAGGTGATGGGCTGGGCTGGCCTCAGCTGCACTTGCAGGCATTTTGGCACTGCTCTGTGTTCCCAAATGGTGCTGGGTTTTGGTCCCTTCACAGGTCCCCACGTCCTCTGTGTGGATCTGAGCGCAGGGCATTAGTTTGCCACTGAGGTGAGCAGTTTTCATGCAGTGCATTGAGGCCAGGCAGAGCAGAGCTCTACTGCAGCCAGCCAGGATGTTTATTTTTGTGTTTTCGAAGTATTTTTATAGGCCAGTGAATTGGCCTTTGGCCCTGCACACAGAGGTCCTCTGCCGAGCAGAGCTGGGCTTGCTCTGGCATAGAGGTCTAGTTGCTCTCCCAAAAGAGCCCAGGGCAATTTGGGGCTTTGCAGAGCAGAGACAGGGGCAAATTGCTCAGAGGGAGCTTGGCCAAGACGGTCTGAGGCAGCTGGTGGCTGTGGGTCCTCATTACTCAGGTTCACATACTCACTGCCCTTGAACTCTCTTCCTGCAGAGAGAGCCCGTGACTACCTGCACAAGACGGGGCGGTTCATCGTCATCGGTGGGATCGTCTCGCCCGTACACGACTCCTATGGCAAGACGGTGGGTTGGCCTCCTCTCCCGTGCACGCCACGGTGTTTCTGAGTGCTGAGGCAAATGTGGTGCCACTCTGATCCTCACTGTGATCTTGTCACAACCCTCACAGCGAGCCCTTCTCTTCCTTGGCTCTCAGGAAATCTCAAAAGAAAGGAGATGAATGCATTTCTAATCCTGTTGCTTACCTTGCAGTGACAGTCTATTACCAAATTACTAGAAAGCAAAGAGAAGTGTACTTTAAAAAGTGATGGTGCTTGATTTTTTTTTCTGTTTAAACCCCATGAATTTAAAGCCAGACTCAATTCTAGGGATGGCCCAATACAGAGGCAGACCTTTAAAACACATTTTAGAGAAAGAAATGTGAAGCTGGAGAGATTCATCTTTAGAAAAGAGCATCAAAAAATGACCATCTCTGGTGTGGTTCTGTAACCGAAACCCAGGCAAGGCAGGGACCCCTCTACCCTCAGGTACCTTAGATAGCCCCTGGCAGACAGAGGTGACACTGAGTGCCCCTCTCATACCAGTGAGCTCAGCCCTCTGCCTCGGGAAAGGCTGCAGGAGACGTTTGTGCGGGACGTCGGGCTCGCCTCGGGAAGGGACCGGGTGCCACCCTCCGCACCACCCTCCCCTCTCTGCTCTCCTGCAGGGCCTCGTCTCGAGCCGCCACCGCCTGACCATGTGCCAGCTGGCCGTGCAGGCCTCCGACTGGATCAGGTGAGCGCAGGCACCGCGCGGGGCCCTGTGGCCTCCCCCAGGCACCAAGCGGGCAGGCTGCGACTGCAGCGGCCCCCAAGCCATCACGTTAGTCGTGCGCTGGCTGGGTTAACAGAGAAGGGCCAAGCACTGCCACACCAGAGCACTCCTCCCCCAGCAGAGCAGAAAATCTATGATAGGCAACACATCGTCCCTTCCTGCAGCCATGCTCGCTTCCTGAGGTAGCACGAGCTCCCCGCTCCTACTTCTCTGCTTGATTCCACCTGACTGCTCCTTGTCACTCTGTTCCCTCCTGCTCTTTTCCAGAGCGCAGATGACAGTGGGGCCTGAGCTGCTTCCCAGCCTCGGCACCTGCCAGATCCACCCTTGGAGCGTGGTCAGGCCCAACAGCGCCAGTGGGGCTGGTGACAAGCAGGGCTGTTCCCAGAAAGCTCCTGCTCCACTAGGCCTGCCAGGGACCACTGTCCAAGAGACCCCCCCACCTCTGCCTTAATGCTAATTGTGTGAAAGAAAAAGGAAAAAAAACAAATCCACACAGCAAAGGCTGAGGCTAGTAGCATTTGCCCTTGGGAAGAGCCGGGGGGATGGCTGGAGGGGGGACATGGCACAGGCAGAGCGAGCGCGGCTGCTCTGAGCGCGGGGCCGGAGCCGCCAGCCGACGCCGCTGCCTCGCTGTGCCCCGCGCAGGGTGGACCCCTGGGAGTGCTACCAGGACACCTGGCAGACCACGTGCAGCGTGCTGGAGCACCACCGCGACCTCATGAAAGTGAGTGAGGTGCCGCCGGGCGCGGAGGGGAGCGGGGTGGCCCGGACAGGCAGCCCGCCACAGCAAGGGCTCGTGTTTCAGAGTGAGCACAAACGCCACCCTGGAAGGAGAATACAAACTGCCTTATTGTACTCCTCTTACCTGGTGGGAAGAGCAAAACAGGCCTTCATTAGGTCCTCATGTCATCCCCAGTAAGCAGAAAAGAAACAGGCTTTTACTCTTCCTAAAGGAGCAGTAGATTGCCAAGAGTTAGGCAAAGACATCATTTAAAGCAAAATTTAATTGTTTTCTAAAACTCCTTGAAGAGGGAATCACCAAAGCACTCATCTCTGCTGAGGAGGCAAAGAAGGCTCTGGCCCCTCTGCAACTCAGACAAGCGTCACTCCAGCAGGAGTCGGCAGCTGCCCGAGTCTTTTGCGGATCAAGAGCAGAGCACAAATGAAAACGGGGTGTCAGGGGTTAGCTGTAGGCTAACATTAATTCTGATATCTCACTCAATCCCAGGGGAAAAAGGAGATAAAGAGTCCCTGCTTATCAACTGAACAGCTCAGCAGATCCAAAACCGCCGCATTAACCAGTGGGAGTGACTCAGCAAGCCAGCAAAACAAGAGCTGGAAAATCCCCAGAGAGCTTCAGGAGCTCAGAGGGCTTCAGGAGAAGTCCCTCAAACCCCAGGCAGCCCCAAGAGCCAGGAGGCAGCAATACTTTTTGAGGGATAACCACTGGGGCAGGGAGAGATGAGAAGAGGGCTGACAACATTTAGATAAAAGTGAGCAAACCAAGGATGAGGGAATAAATAAATACATGACAGCGTGACACAAACTCACAAGCAGCCTACCCAGAGCCAAAGAGGTGAGGCTGGCAGGAGCAGGCGGTGGCAGCCTGCAGGGACGGGAGGCCCCCAGGAGGCATGGCTGGAGTGCAGAGCACCGCGGGCGGGCGGCCGGGCACGCGTAGCTGTGCGAGCAGGACAGGGCCGGAGGTGGCGCGTGGCCGAGCGGCTGCTCCCTGCGCTGAGCAGCTCCGAGGGACCTTCCCACTAGGAGCTGCCAAGCCGTGCGTGTAGGGTCCTTGCTGCAGCACGCTGAAACCTCGCACGGCTGCAAGAAGCAACAAAACCAATTCATAGGGAAAAAACATCCAGAGACACCATGTCTCCGTGCAACTCAGCACAAATACAGAGCAACTATCAGTTTTCATTGAGTTTTATTTCTAAATAACATCAGCTGACCTAGCAGGAGAACTTGAACCTGGCAGGCCAGGGAGCCTCTGAACTGGGTGTTGCCTGGGATGCCCATGGTCCTCGCGCCACCCCAGGGACCACAGAGGGATGGGACGAAAGGGCAGGTTTACTCCTGGGGTAACGTAAACTGATGCGTTGATACTTCTCTCACCTCGTTGCAGAGGGTGACGGGCTGCATCCTCTCCAATGTGAACACCCCCTCCATGACGCCTGTGATTGGACAGCCCCAGAACGAGTCTCCACAGCCCATCTACCAGAACAACAACACTGTTTCCAACAAGCCCACCGCAGGTAGGTCGCACAGGAGGAGGGAGAGGAGGCGAGAGCCACCTACCTATCCCTGCCCTTCACACCTGAAACTGCCACTCACGCTCATTTGGGTCTAGTCCTTTTGCTGGGAAGTCCTCCTTCTCTTCGATGGTGAAGCATGTCTTCCCTTTCTGCCAGACGCATCGGTTTCCCTTGTCCTTTTCTCTGCCTTTCAGAACACCTGCACCACCGGAAATGGGGAAGAATGTGACACTCCCATGCTTCGCAAGCCCAGCTTCTCTGAGCTCAACCAGAGATACTTCCCTATTCCCCACAACTCACATTTAGTTTTGTTTGAGGCTAAATATTCCCCCATTATAA